TGTCAATTGTCCCTTTTAGAGCTAGGTCTGTGGTGATGTATGTTCTGTGGAAGGCATCCGTTGGTTGCTCGGCTGTAAGCACTGATGTTCGTACTTAAGAAAAAGTTTCACTGTATCTTTTTTATAATACCAACAAAAGTACCAATTGGCTGTGGCTCTAAATTATATGATTGCATGTACTTGTGTCTAAGCCTTCTTCATTTCATGATGTTTTTTTTAATAATTCTCTGCCACTGTACAGTTCAGTGACATTCCAACCCTCTGTTCTAGCTGTAACTCTACCTTCTGGTATAATTTATGCCGACATGTAGATGTGAGATTAATTATAGGGCTACATAAAATAATAGCAATGAGATTTATTTTACCAAACACTATTTAATGCGAGTTCTTTAATACTCTCACGGAGATCAATTGCTGTGTGAAATAAAAAAATTACTCCACACAAAATAATTTCAATGAGATTCATTACCGTGACCACTGTAGTGCTTTATACGCGCGCGGCGGGTACACCTTGTAGCCATCCGCGACTCAACCGAGCTCATATGGCGACCATTATGGACAGGACACTAAAATACAGAGCTGCATACAGGCACATCGACCTGCAACATCCACCTGTATCGTCTGCATTACCGCACACGTGCTCGTATCTACGTAGACAGCAACGGTTTTGTCGCACGTAGTACTCATTCAAAACTGTAGTTTAAATTTATGAGCGCACATTAGTGGAATATACGCTGTGAACATTTACGATACAGATAGCGTGGTCTTGCCTTTGTCCAAGTGAGCGAGTGTACGTGTGACGCGTACGCAGATAGAAACGGCCAGCTTGCGGCTGTCCACAGCTGGTACCATGTGCTAATATTATTTGAAAGGCGCTACGCAATTTAGGTGTGTCAACAATACTGACTGCGCCATAGGCTGACTACCATATGTGCGACCCCGAGCCTCGCCCGGTCAGCCAGTATACTAAATACAAAGATAGGTAGGAAAATGGGGGCCTAAAATGGTACTTTTTACCAATTACTTGATCTTCTGTTGCTTCTGTTGCTCGATATACCTGGCGTTTCGGGCGGGCAGCTTGCGAGGGCGGATACACTTCTTCTTATTTTTGGGGGTAGCTAATCAGGGCCCATGTTTTTTTAACACTCGCCAGACTATGCTGACTGCGGACCTCCGCTGGATCCGGTGGTGGGGACTTTTTTAATTAGAACGCGGTCGCTTTTGCGTCATTCTCGCAGGCAATAGAGCGTCACGCGGTGTCTTGTCCGCTGATTGAACGGAGCGCGTAGCCGTATTGCGGCATCCCGCTGCATACGCACCGCCCTCGGGGGTCCGTCGTAGACCGCGGCGGGTTCAGCAGTAGCAGGTCAATCTTCGCTTTGCCCGTAGGCCTCGCCATGCTGCAAACTGTAAGAGAACTATTACAATTACTAACGTGCGTAAAAATATTAGGTTTTCCAGCGGGTATTTACTGCCAGGTGTATTTTATTAAACAAAATAATAAAGAGTATTATTATATCATAAGCATTACAGGCCATTTAATGCTGTTACTCATTATTAAACAAAAATAGTTTATTTTAATTTTGGCAATCGCTTAAATAATGCCATTTTCACTTTTTTTAAACCAAACATACTTTTAAGCAATAACAATGATTTTAAACACAACCACGTTGGTACTTTTCACGCACGCAGTGCGGTGTCCGGGTGCAGCTAACGCAAAGGTCATGAAGCCTTCTTATATAAAAAATATTATATATGATGATAAAATACTCTACTTTGAGAAAGTGCGTAGAAAATAACATAGCAGAGCTCTTACAAAGTACTGGTCTGTGAAGTCTACATTTATAATAATAAATATCTCTATTGTGCAGAGCTCTTAGAAAATAAAGTGGTTACTGTGCCCAATTTGCAGTACATACGACAGGTTTTGGGTAGCTAAATGTAAATAATCAAGTTTCTGCGCGGCCCGCCTGGCTGTTTGCAACGAAGATGCATTTTGTGCTCGGCAGAACTGTTTACCTTACGTTCAATCGCGAGTCCGATAGACGGTCTGATCGTGCGACAGATCCAGTCAGTGTCGCAGGTCGGCGGAGGAATTTCCAGAAAACAGTACAAAGTACTGTTTTCTTGCGAATCCAAACAGTGAACTCATAGTACTGGAAACAGTATGTATTAAGTTCGCATACGAACTTAAATATCTTCCTACGTTCTTACAACAGTTCTGGAGCTTCGTCGGGTAGCAGGGGGCGCTCGACGGCGTCGTCCGCGGGTAGCCACACGAAGTTGATTGTTTCTCGCTCAAAATCCATTTTTAGTTGCCAAGGTAAGTTTCTAGCTAACTCCCACGTTAGCTCTCTATGGTATACCCACTGCACTAAGTATAATTCAAGAGTGTGGACCCATCGTTTTGCCTAAAGGCGCTCAACCTCAAAAGCCTCCCCACCTCGCCCTCTTTGTGCTTGCCTTCCTCGAAATAAACCGTTGCCACTCTGCGGTCGAAACGCCGGGTTTTCTTCAGGGGGAGGCCGATTAGCTAGATTTTGGTTGACTCTCAATCTGTAAAAGGAGCCGTCGAGATTGCGTTGGAAGTTGCGTGTGTGTTTTCCTCTCTTGTTCAAAGGCGTCATAACAGAAATTGTAGAATGGCATGCATCTGGTGCTATCATAGTTGAGGACGTGTAATGCATAAGAAGCGATGTCGTTTGCAAAAACAAAATGTATTGTAGACGTCTCCAAATCACAAAACAAATTCACAAAACACAAATACACTTAAAGAATTCAATATTTAATGTCCAAGTCTGGGACGCTGCAATCGAGATCTTTTAACTCGCAAACAAGAAACACTGTTTCATACAATTTTTAGTATAGACACCCCAAGGCAACAACTGAAAATGTTATCGGATCACAATTTCGCAAAACATGACTTGTGAAGCAAAGTTTTAAAGATAATATTTAGCTAAAATCTGGTTTGCAATTACAAAATGTAAAAAATACAAAGACGGTCGTACACCAGACCGTAGTTTTCTGCTACAGAATTCTCAGAGTCCAATACAACGTCATCCCGTAGCAGGCCCAAGTCACGCGCTGCCTAAACATCCAATGCAAAAACCACGAAGCGTGCTTGACCGTACTTGGACAACATTGGAGGCTCGTAGCTTGTGGCCGGAGAAGTCATTTCTAATGTGAAGAGCGAAGTAAAAGACAAAATAGCTTCGTATGATCTATAAAAAAACGAAGGAGCGAAGATAAGTAAGAAATAAACTATTAATAGTAATTAATAGTAAATGTTGTTGGAAAAGTGGTTTGTAAATTAAATTATTAGCCGCGAACTTAAGTGTACTGGTTTTTTTGCTCAATAACTGTCTGGAAATATGTACTTTGTTACGGACGGTAAAACTGTACCGAAACACTGTTTGCAACAGGCTGTGACACTAAAATGCGACGCGCGTCGAACTTCGAGTCGAAGTGTCTCGCCTCACGCAGACACGACCAGCATCCCGAATGCAGCATTTAAAGTGACGCGGCGTGTGGAGCTTATGAACTTATGCGCAGGTTTTACAGCGAGGCTTGATCTCCTCTTTCGTGTTTGTTCCTTCATTCCAGCCGGGTGGAACTTCGTCCCCATCGAGAATTCGGTGCGTCGCATTGCGCGCTGCTGTTGTCGTACACCGCCCCATCGGGTCAAGCCGCTTGCCGACACAACGATCCAGTCTTTGCGTCGCCGCCAGCGCCGCCAGCGTTCTGCATCAAGATTGGCGCTCGCTTCCTGCGATCGGAATCCGATTCGGATGTGCTTGAATTATCAGACGAGGACAGGCGCGGTGCCGACTGCAAGTCGCGAGCAAACACTGGTTTTCAGCAGCAAGGAGCTCCAATATCGAGCGCTGTGCAAACCGCTTCAGTAAGTACTCGTAGCCTACCGAGCCACGGACGCTTGTTTCAGGAATATCCTGCGCTCAGGATATTCCCCAACCATCACTTAGTATAATTGCTGAAAGG